GGGAACGTCAGGTCTCGTATATTAAATTTCATACAGTCCGTGTCCCTTCTGTTCGAGGGCAAGCGTAACACGTGATGACGAAAACTTCGTTCCATTGGGTGCGCGATCGAACGCCGAATTCGTGTAAACTTCTTCCGATATTCTCGTTTTAGAGGGAGCAATCATCTGTTTCCGGATTAATAGGGCTGTTACTGCCGTGAATGACTGTTAATCGCGATGGGAAAATATGCGAGCCTAGTTCGGTGAAAGAGATTCGCCCGGAGAAAAAGATTTATAAAATTATCGACAAGGAAAAATTACGTCGAATGGAAAAATAAATTTCCCCTATGGGAAACTATGTACGCGATATATCCGAAAGTGATTAAACACGCAAAAGGAACTTCGAAAGTATCTTCTTGAAAAACTAAATAAACAAAATGTGCAAGAAAAAAATTTGATACACGAAACATTCAAAAAGAATCAAATGCTCGAAAATCTTCGAAATATAAAAATACACTAAATACACAAAATATAAAAAAAAAAAAAAATTGAATACACGAAACGTTCAAAAAGAATTAAATGCTCGAAAATCTTCGAAATATAAATACACATTAAATACACGAAATATATATAAAAAAAAATTGAATAGATAAAACATTAAAAAAGAATTAAATGCTCGAAAATCTTCGAAATATAAAAATACACTAAGTACACGAAATATAAAAAAAAAAAAATTGAATACATAAAACATTCAAAAAGAATTAAATGCTCGAAAATCTTCGAAATATAAAAATACACTAAATACACGAAATATAAAAAAAAATTGAATACATAAAACATTAAAAAAGAATTAAGTGCGCAAGAATCTTCGAAATATTAAAAAAGAAAGAAAAAATCTACGATCCCCACAGCGCGAAGGAATCTAATCACCTTCGAGGGATTACGAAGCTGCATTGTCCAACAAGCGCCATAACCATAAACGTACCGTCTGTAACGCCGAATACGACCCTCGTCGCAACGATTTTTCACGGCGCGTAACCGAGTTCTAGCGAAATCTCTACCCTCTGACGGCTATAATATCCGACGTTTACGTTTATTCGTCGCGCGAAGCTCGTTAAAATCAGCGGGTTTCTCATCTTTTGACCGAGAACAGGCGAATGCAATGTTCGCCTGGTTTCCCGGCTGGTGTAACATCGAGAGGTTTAACCTTTTGCCTGTTAGCGGTGGCTTGGCAGCATTAATTACACCCAAGGACTGGCCTTTTGCAGGGGACGCGTGTTCCCCGGTCATTTATCAGCAATTACGAGGCGGCCCGTGTTAATTGAATACCCGGGGCACCGGCAAAAATACGAAGAGCCCGATTTTCGTCGATTTCGCTGACTGTTCCTGTCATTCGCTGCTCGGAAATATACAGGGTGATTCACGTGACTTACACGCTCGCTTTTCAATTACGCGTCTAATGAAAAATTTATGTATTTATAAAAAAAGTACAAATTAAATGTATTTAATAATACGAAAGTTGTATGATTTCAAGGGATTTCATCATTTGGGAGGGGGAGTCATCTTTATTTTTTTTTTTAGTCGAATCATAACATATATATATTTTTCATGAATCGGAAGAATATTACGTTCTAAGTAAAAAATATTACGTTCTTAAGTAAAAAAATATTAAACCACATGGTTGAGGAGATATTGTACAATAATTTGTTTCATTCGAGAATGAAAACCATAGTACACAAATTATCGTCAAGTTAATTAAATAATTAATTGTGTTAAACAATTTTTTATTAGACAGATAATATAAAAGTTATTTCAGGTGTGCAAGTTACGTGAATCAGCCTTGTATAATATTTCGAGGTAATTTTACAACTAACAGGGTTGTTTCTGTTAGTTGGACTTCTATTTAAGTTTAGTTAAGTTTAGTTATGTTTGAGTTTATTTAAGTCGGAGGTTAATTTTACAGCTGCACGTATAAGGATGGATTTTTTTTTTTTTTTTTACGTCGAATTCGTTATTCTAGTTGAAAAGAAAATTTAATAATATTATATGATCGTGTTATCAATATTTTTGTTTCATAATTACTGCGTTTTTAACTTACAACTGTAAACGACGTTTGTTATGAAGCTTCGACATTTGATACGGATTTTAAATTTTTGATGAATCTTCGAGGTGAATATGTATTTCAATTTGTGGAGGTAGCGGAAATGTACGAACAAAATTGTGGTCTTACGTTGTGGCTCGACTGTAATTTCACCTACCAAGAATTCTTCACAAACTCGCGAGCATGATAAATGCACGGAAACGCAACACCATTGGAATATTACGAATGAAATATGAATAATGAAGTTATCGAGGGAACAAGACTCGAATTTCATTCACGTTAGAAATCTGATATACAAACGGACAATCGATACTGCAACTAACAAACGTAACAACGTAAGATAATATTAGTTCGATAGAATTTCCTGAGATTTCCTAAATTAATAAAAATTCCAACATGCTCATCTCGAATATGTCTAACATTGATTTAACAGAATCTCGTAAAATTTCCCAAGTTAACTTTCAAATTTAATGTCTCTTAAATCGACGACACTTGAAATTTCTCGAATCGACCAAATTTCGGATATTTTAAATTTAAAATTTAAGAAAAGAAAGAATTTCCAACTTTTCAAATTTAAAATTTAAGGAAAAAACTTTTCAAACTTTTTAAGAAAAAAATTTTAAACTCCTTAAACTTAGAAATTTAAGAAAAAGAATCACTGAAATTCAAAAGATGGAAATTTTCACTCCGCGCGATTGAAAAAAAAAAAAAGAATTCACAAAATTCTTGGACGAAGAGGATAATTCGCACAATCTACCGATCTTTCGCCCGTGACCATCGAAACCTAATACCAAAACTTCCTATCGTCCGCGATCACGACTAGGCGAAATTCCCCTTTGTTCGAAACAATAGGGAGTATACTGCTGACTAGGTTGGTCCCTTTGAATTATTCGCGGCGAAGCGTGGTCCCTAGTGAAACTGAATTGCTGGACACAGTCCTTGGACCATTCGAAACAATTTTCAGGCCTAGTTCCAGACTGGACCACTCTCGCCAGTGTTAGGCAGTCGCACTGGGGCTGTCTCTGAATTAGGTGACTAGAACGAGAGAGTTGGTGATTGGTAGATAGGCTGGGATCACCAGCTATCCTGAAGCTAATTTATCACGGACGTAACTCGACGAACGTGGCCCGATCTAAAATGATTTGATCAGCTAGTTCGATCACGGTTTATTGTTAGGCTGATGGGGGACTGAGAAGCATCTGTAGATTGATCTAAGGATGAGGTAGAGAATGGATTCTCCAACAGCAGAACTATCAATTTATAATTTTTAGACTAACAGACTAGTTAAATTAACAAACTAATAATCTAATTAATTCAGTAATTAATTGATAGACTAGTAGAATGCCAGACTGATTAGGCTAATAGGCTAACAGACTCATTGGTTTAACAGACTAATAGACTGCTAGAGAATAATAAATAGATTTCAAATCAGGCGAAATTTAATTGCAAGACTGATAGCTTTTAGACTAACTTTTAGACTAATAGATTAACAAACTAGCAATCTGATAAATTAATTCAGTAATTGATCAATAGGCTAGCAGACTGATTAGGCTAAGATTCATTGGCCTAACTAATTTAATTGTACAATTATCGACTGATGATGCTCCGCGAGAGATAAAAAGTTCACATTACATTTTCGATTATCATCGAAATCTAATAACAACAATGTTTACGTGCTTCTTCCTCTGAATCTTCACGTTGCACTGCAAACATTTACACAAAAGATATCGTGTTACCTATTTACTGACCCGGATAGAAAGTAATAGGAGAATCCCACGCTCTAATTGGGTATTAAAGCACCAGAGAACTTGGTCTCCTCTTCAGAACCTACCGAGATCCTTCCGTACCAAACTCTTGAGTCAACACTAAGAGAGGGAGACGCTTGAAGAAGTCCGGCTGTCGGGTCGAGACTCAGACCGGAAGGAAAAAATTGAGATTTTATCTTTTTCAATTTTTGTTTCTCTCTCTTTCTCTTTCTTTCTTTCTCTCAATGTGACTGATGATAGATGGTCGGCAAGGTTATTTCAAGCTTCTGATCAACAAAAAGAGAGAAAGAGGAAACAAAAGAGGATTCAAGAGCGTTTAACCAAGCAACACTCGAGGGAAGCTGGAGGTTAATTTATAGGAGGGCTGCTTTGAAAGATCCTTGCAAGAAAGAATGTCACGTGACCTGGAAGTGACTGCCTCGACTGACATTGTACATGATTTTTACTTGCAAAAGGACGACAAGTTGCAGATAAAGGGACTGGCTAGAATTGTAAAATTCTTTCACAGTTGATGTGATTGTAAATCCATATCAGACTATTGGTCGATTAGTCCAGGGGATTAGAAGTGTTTGAGAAGATTTAAGAACTTTTTTAGCAGTTGTACAGGTTTCTAAGAGTCGTCTGACTTTTAGATATTGTAGATATTGAAATTTGGTAGAAAAGTTATTGTAGAAGATTAGATGAATACAGATCAAATTCAATTGTTTCTGAGGCAAACGAATAGGCTAGTGAACAAACTAATACAAACTAATTGAAATATTATACTAATACATACTTAATAGATAGCTTAATAGCTTAACAGACTAGTTGGAATAATAGGTTAATAGACCAGGGTACAGTGAAAGAAGATTTAAAATAATTTTGGACTTTTTTAAGACTTTAAATGGAACCATATTAACATGGAGTTATAAGTAATAAAATATAAGATAATCTAAGGTAATGTATAATAAATGTAAGGCTAGCAGCTGGATATCCTGGTTGAAATAATAAATTAATGGACTAACTGATTAATAATAATAGATTAATAGACTGATAAATTGATAGACTGGAAAACTACTTAAAATCATTTTTTAAATGAAAGTTTCTCTTTTAAGACTTTGCCATAATTAATGAACCATAAATGACCAAATACAAGATAAATTCTCAAGACTTACCATCATCAATTTCTCGAACTCTTCCTCGATCACGGTGCCATTGTAGTATCGATTGGGAGACTTGGTGTCTGGATAGTAGAAACCACGTTTGCAGATGCATCGATAGCTTCCACGACGGAATCCAAGTCCTGGAATCGCGATGCACTGCAATACGAAACGATAATTAAATGTCAACGAAGAAACTAATAATTCAACTGACCTACGTAAAACATTTAATGTTAATCGTGAAAGAAATGGAAGATTTTTAAAGAGATTTCAAGAACTTCAATCGGACGCACTTTTATTTCTGATTTTCTAATCTCTCGTTTATTTTTTTTTTTTCTTTTTTAATACATGCATGAATTCGTATACAGAACTTTCATTTCATTATCTCTTATCGTCCATTGGCTAACAATAAGAAATTCACTGACCTCGGTGGTTCGTTTTTTGCATTTGTCGCTCGCTGCAAAAATGTTCAACTGGGTGGATTCAGGTGGCAGGGGGCACTGATCTATATCCAGCCTGCGTAGATCAATGTCGATTCCACTCGTCCCCCTGAAACAAGTAATCGTTCAAATAATTATTTACACGCGTGTCTACTTTCTCGCGCGATAATTAATTTGTTTATTTATTTATTTATCTATCAACGAGGAGGGAAGCACGAGTTATTAAACAGGCAGGGCAACAGAGACGAAATTGAGCAGTCGTTAATGAACCAGAGGCTACTAGTAATTGACTGGAAGTCATATTAGAGGGAGGACAAGGTTATTTCTATCGAAATTCGTGTCTCCATGTCTGGCATAATGGACGGCAGTGTCAAACGCCGGAGTGTGCAACGCGTAAAGCTATCGACCGTTCCATCAATTTATTATGCAATAAAGCTTCAGTTAATGTCTCTTGCCTGAAGGCAATCTGCCTCCTCTTGCTCCAAAGATAATATATCCCAGAATTAGACTGCGTTCACGTACCTACAGAATCGCACCACCTGCATTATTCACTTTCAATTTGATTTTTTCAATCTTTTCTCAAAAATTCTCATTCCCAATTTTCTTCCTTTTTGAATTTTTCTCTTTTTATTTAATTACACTTTCTTCCCTCTTTCGCCGGTCTTTATCTTTCACCCTAAAGAAATATTCTCTACTTTATTTTTCTTCCCTTAAACGTACTGAACTTTTATTAAGAACGTTATAGCTTCCTTTATTTGAATTTCCTTCACCCTGTTTCCCTTTTTTCGAATTTTTCTTTCCTCAAAATTTTTCTTCATGAACATCTTCCTTAACTTGAATTTCTCCTTCATCGTATTTTCATTTTTTTTGAATTTTCCTCCCCTTAAAATATTTTTTTATTAAATCTTCCTTTACTTGAATTTTCCTTTAAAATCTTTCTTTACAACGCTTCCTTCAACTTGAATTCCTCTTTACTCAATTGCCCTTCCCTTGCACGTTCCTTAACTACATCTTCTTCCCTTCAAATTTTCCTTTATTTCCACTCACTTTTTATTTATCCTTCTCTCTCCTTTCGCTCCTTCATTTTTATTTCACCCCGCGCGCAATTCCGCATAACAGCGCGCATGGTAAACGCTAATACATCTACGTTGAAAGCCTCTGCCTGCCGAATTCTCGCGACTATTGCGCCCGTGTGCCATCTTGCCAGAGACGATACACTTCAAATAATGTACGAGGCACCACAAAACGCCGCCTTGATTAATTTACCTTCCGCCTGCGAAGTACGTGCTCTCTATCGTTAATGACAAGACACGAGCAAGTCCAACAAAACACGGCAACGGCAATATTTATTGCAATCACGAACAGAGAGGCAGACGCCTCGGAGTTTGACGAAGGCGTTATTATTTCCGGCGAAAATATCCCTCTTCCCCCCTCCCCGAGATAGTAGATTTCGTTTTTACACTTCGACTCGACGTTTCTCATTTCTGCATTCTCATTAATCTTTCGTCCTTTGAAGAACAGTCCAGACCAGTCGCGAGAAAGAATTCTTTCTTGCATTTCTTCTAAATGAAAATTTAACTTTCCAACTTTTTCTCTATCACAGAAGTTGATAGTGTTCGAAGCTGATAGTCATTTAGGCTTCGAACATTCGCTTTTCAAATGACGAAAATTATGTGTCATGTGCTTAGGTGGGGCATGGTGAAAGTAAGGTTAGGAACCACTGATCTAGACAGTATTGTAAATAATAAATCACGTCGCGAGAAAGAATTCTTTCTTGCATTTCTTCTAAATGAAAATTTAACTTTCCAACTTTTTCTCTATCACAGAAGTTGATAGTGTTCGAAGCTGATAGTCATTTAGGCTTCGAACATTCGCTTTTCAAATGACGAAAATTATGTGTCATGTGCTTAGGTGGGGCATGGCGAAAGTAAGGTTAGGAACCACTGATCTAGACAGTATTGTAAATAATAAATCACGTCGCGAGAAAGAATTCTTTCTTGCATTTCTTCTAAATGAAAATTTAACTTTCCAACTTTTTCTCTATCACAGAAGTTGATAGTGTTCGAAGCTGATAGTCATTTAGGCTTCGAACATTCGCTTTTCAAATGACGAAAATTATGTGTCATGTGCTTAGGTGGGGCATGGCAAAAGTAAGGTTAGAAACCACTGATCTAGACAGTATTGTAAATAATAAATCACGTCGCGAGGAAGAATTCTTTCTTGCATTTNNTCTAAATGAAAATTTAACTTTCCAACTTTTTCTCTATCACAGAAGTTGATAGTGTTCGAAGCTGATAGTCATTTAGGCTTCGAACATTCGCTTTTCAAATGACGAAAATTATGTGTCATGTGCTTAGGTGAAGCATGGTAAAAGTAAGATCTAGACAGTATTGTAAATAATAAATCACGAACACATTTCGAGATGGTCATTCTGTCAAATTAATTTCGAACTCTGTCGAATCCTTTTTTTCCTCTCAGTTAATCAACGAGACTGATGAACGTTGAATTCAATTATTGTCGAATAACGTTCAGTATTCTAATTTCGAAGCGAATTCGATTCCAATTACATTATTCGCCGATGGAATTCTGATCTCAGCGGGCAGTGTGAAATAAAATAAAATCAGACACTCGAAATTACGCGCGGTCGACCAGCCGTGAATCGCTGTTGCTGCGCTCTGTTATTAATTGAACTTCCAGTGACTACGATAATCACAATATAACGCAGCAGGTGACAGTAACTGTTGTATACCAATTTTCCAACAACAATACGGATGTTATATTAAGTTACATGAAATCACAATGACAGTCGTGACAACTGCAATCAACGGCTCGTCAATTTAAAAGTGGATGAAGAATGAAAGAAGAGGACAATACCGAAATTCAAAGTTGTTCAAAAGAACGCGCCGAGGTGCTCGATGCGTCGGGTCGCCGGGCAATTCAAAAGATTCTATAATTAAATTGAAACAGAGGGGCTGTAGGGGGCTGCCAAGTGTTTCGCAGAGACGAGACGAGACGTAAATAATCTCGGTATCTGTTGAACACGAGCAACGACAACCGGCTCGTCCGGCTGCAATTAACAATTAATCAAGCATCCCCCAAGCGTTCTCCAGTTTCATTCGACGAAAGCGTCTAATCCTTACCAGCTCTCTCTCTCTCTCTCTCTCTGTGTGTATGTGTGTGTGTGTTGCCTTTGCGCAGTTTCCTTCTGTTGCTGAAGTTAAATTCGCCGTGCTCTCGCGGAACGTTTCCCACCGGGAGCGAGGGAAATGACAATGGGGAATTGTTTGCCAGCCAGCGTCGACAGTAAAATATTCGCTGCGAGGATTATAAAGAGAAAGGATTATCAAGAAGACTGAGGGAGAAAACAGGGGAATACCTCGAACGAAGATGCACAATCGTGCGCTCTCGTTTCGGACAGACTTCTGCTAGATTACGAAAGAATAATAACCAACATCGGCGCGTTGCTTTTTGCGAACGAAGGAGGAGAACCTCTAACGCGATTATGGAACGGTGTTGCAACGTTTCCTTTTCGTCGTCCTTTTTCTTTTCCTCTCTCTGTTTTTTTTTCCTCCTTTTTTCCTCTTCTTCCTTTGAAGAGGGGAGGAGGGAACATTTGTTTCTGGTTGTTAAATTAAGTGAAAAGTTGGTCCGTGTACTACTTGTACTACTTGTTACGCCGTGCAACACTGGCGACGGCTGATTTACAATGGATCTACTCCACTCGTTTACGAAGCAACGTGTTTCCGCTACTGACTGCGTTTCCTCGACAAATATTTGGCTGTTAGATCATATTAAGTTGGGTCGTCGTTTTTGACACGTTGGATCGTTAAATACAAAATTTGATTAGTAGCGAATCTAATTCGACTGTTCCGTGAGGTAACAGTCGAACTAGATATTTGTCAGAAGATTTTATTATTAAATTAAACGGAGAATTTATCATATTATGATTATTAAATTAAACGGAGAATTTATACGTTATTGTTATTCTTCTGTCCGATTAACAATAGATCTGCTCACGAAGCGGGCATTGGTATGCTTTATTATTGATAGAATGGATTCAAAACAAAGTCAGGAGAGACAGAACGGATTTAGAATAGAGTTGGAACACTTTCTGGCAAATATTTGGTTAGGTTAGATTCGATGATTTAATTCAAATTAATTCAAATTATTGAATTAAACAGAAATTTCTGTTTTTGTCCGACCGAAAGTGGATCTGTTCTACTTGCCTCTCTCGCAGATACATTTTATTATTTATATTAATATTCGTTAGAAAATTATACACGCGTTGATGCATTACAAATTAATTGACATATGTTTAACACACAATCAGTCATCTGTCTGGTCAATAACTGAAACGTTCCACTCACCTCGCTGATATTCGAGAGAGCTTATCCCAGTATTATAAATGACCCATTTCTTTTAGTTTTACTTTTTTTTCATTTCTATTTAAATTCTTAACAATTGACTCGTCTGACGAATAACCTAATTCATTGTACAGTTGACCATAGACGTTCGTGATGTTACACTATTACGAAACGAAAGCTTTCCAATTCTAGTCAAGTCTACCTGTCTGACCAACAACTGGGACAGTCTACTCATTACACATTGATTTATACCCCTCACTACTGTACTCTTCAACCATACGTACGACTTTCTTGTCCGACTACAAATTTACCTCGATCACTTCATTAATCACCGAGTGAAATTTCGCACTGGGCTTCCAAACAAGGCTAAAACTAGTTTTGTTTCGATTTCGTTGGTGACCCGTATTCCGATCAGGCAACTTGCCTATTCTCTTTGGCCGACAATAGGAATTTACTTTCATCGGCTGATCAAACATTTACTCGCTCTCCTTGGCCACGGGACAACAACAAAACACTGTCTGGACAATGCATCGTCGATTCACCGCGAGATCGAAATATTTTCGACGCTGACCCAACGTTCGCAGAAACCCTTTTCGCCTGTTCGATCGATATATCCTCAATCTAATCAGCAGTGATTGATCCCCGTCACTGGCCGGCCAAATAATTTATCCACTCGCCTTGACCAACAACAACAAGCAACAGATACAGCTCGTCTGGCTGATTAATAACTGACCTATTTCACTCG